GAATCGTACATTAAGTACAAGGCGTTGTTATAAAAAGGAGATTTCAATTTTCAGGATTACAGTGAATTTAACCATGAAAGAAATTTTGTGGTTTTCATAATTTTCAGTTTACTTCCCCAGTGATACAAAAATCGTTTTTTTATAATACTACATTTTTTATATATAATACTAAAAAGAGTGCTGCGAAAAACATTATTAAATCCTAAGATAAATAAAAATATACACTAAGAATATTTTTAATAAAATATAAAATATAAAATAGATTTACAATAAAAATGTTAGTAAATTTAAAAAAAAAGTATGTATTTTTGAAAATACAACATTTTTTCATTGCAGATGAGTGAAGATTCAGTTAAAGTTGCTGTTCGTATTCGTCCATTAGTAAAGACTGAGATTGAACGAGGTTGTCAAAAGTGCTTAGATGTTATTCCTGGTGAATCACAAATAACTATGTGTAATACGACTAAGTCTTTTGCATTTAATTACGTATTTTCTCCTGACATTAGTCAAGAGGAGTTTTATAATACTGCTGTTAAAGACATGGTGAAAAATATCTTTAAAGGTAAAGTTAAAATATATAATTCCTAAAATTTTGTAATTATAGTTATAGCCTTGTTATAACAAGTAAAGTACACATACATACATATATACATATATATCCTTTCTGTACAGGCTATAATATTACTATATTAGCTTATGGGCAAACAGGAAGTGGTAAAACTTATTCAATGGGTACAAATTATGTTGAAGAAGAGAATATGGGTGTTATACCTCGAGCAGTAAATGATATATTTGATATGATTTTATTGAAAGAAGATTGGAACTTCAAAGTTACAGTTTCATTTATGGAACTTTATCAAGAACAATTGTATGATTTGTTAACTGACAAGCAACGAAATCAATCTATTGTTGATATCAGAGATGATGGTAAAAATATAAAAATTGCTGGACTTTTTGAAAAAGAAGTAAAAAATGCAACAGAGACATTAGATTGCTTAACACAAGGCTCAGTAGGACGTGCTACTGGTGCTACTGCAATGAATGCACAAAGTAGCCGAAGTCACGCAATATTCACTTTATGCATATATCAACATAAAAAGAATGATCTGTAAGCAATACACCTTGAAATTATAAAATAATGTTTAAATTTATTTATTTTAATATTTTGTTATTTTCTATTAATATAATTTAGTAACACAGCAACAACAGCGAAGTTTCATTTGGTAGATTTAGCTGGATCTGAACGTAGTAAGAAAACGCAAGCAACTGGTGAAAGATTTAGAGAAGGAATTAATATAAATAAAGGTTTATTAGCATTGGGAAATGTTATATCTCAGTTAGGAGAGGGTGACCCTATGGCATACGTTGGTTATAGAGATAGTAAACTTACAAGATTGTTGCAAGATTCTCTTGGCGGTAATTCTATAACGCTAATGATAGCATGTGTCAGTCCAGCAGGTTACTATTGTCATAAAATTTATATTTAATTGTAGTATTTAATACTAATGTTCAAAATAATTTGTTTTATTTAAAACACTTTCAGATTATAATTTGGATGAAACTTTAAGTACATTAAGGTATGCAGACAGAGCATGCAAAATAAAAAATAAACCTGTAGTAAATCAAGATCCAAAGATTTCAGAAATAAATCGGTTAAATAAATTAGTACAAGAATTAAAACTTGCTTTAGTAGATCAAGAAATTAAAGTTTCTTGTCCATTGGAACATCAAGAACTAACAGAAAAAAATCAATACTTGCAAAAAAAAATAAGAGATTTAACGGAAAAGTTCAATAATAATTTGATTGAAACTCTTGCCATGCATGAGAGAGCAGAATTAGCTGAACAAGCTAGAGAAAAAATTCAAACAAATATGATCGAAATATTAGAAGAATGTAAAAATCTTCTAGACGATTTTAATAAAAATCCTGGCAAATACAATGAACATCGCTCGAGATTAGAAGCTTTATACTTAAAAATTCTTGGTAAGTAATATACAAAAATTTTATTGATATGAAATTTAAAATTTTATTGAAATAAAATGCCTTCTTATTTATGTTAAACAGACATACAAAACGATCAAAAGAAAACATCTGAAGAACTTATAAATTATGAAATATCGTCTGTTAATGCAAATACATTTACAATAAACCACGAAGAAGATTCAGAACAGACGTCTATCGATGAAATATGTTCTCCAGATAGTTTAGACGATTTTCATGAAAAACAGGAAGAACATACTTTACTTCAAGTGAAAAGGAACAACGAAGTACAAAATATCAATAAAGAACTTGCTATTAAGGAGAGTCTTATATGTCAGCTTTTAAAAAATTCATCTCAAACGATGGATTATTCCAAAGAAATACAAGAAATGGAGCAGGAAATAAAAACACTTCAAACAGAGAAAGAGGAACTTTTGCAAGCTTTACAGAATATACAAGCAAATAATGTTAGCTCAAAGTAAGAAATTAATTAATATTTAGTTGTGACAAAACTTATGATTTAATTTTATTCAATTATAACAATTATTAGTTTAATATTATTTCTTCAAGTTTTTAAATTTATTTTTTCCGTTTTATAGATTAGCAGAAAATAGACGTAAAAAAGTACAAGAATTGGAAAAGAAAATAACGGAATTACGGCGAAAAGTAATAGAACAAGATAAAATAGTTAAAATGAAAGAGAAACAAGATCAGCAGATTAAAAATTTATCAAATGAAATGCGCATGTTAAAGCAAACAAGAGTGAAATTAATTAGGCAAATGCGTAATGAATCTGACAAATTTACAAAATGGAAGGGATCAAAGGAGAAAGAATTGAACAGGTTAAAAGATCAAAATAGAAAACAAGTGAACGAAGTGACGCGTTTAAAAATGTGGTGTAGTAAACAAGAAATTGTTTTCAAAAGAAAAATGGAAGAAGCTTTTGCTGTTAATAAAAGACTGAAAGTAATGTATTAAGAGAGATATAGTAATGCTTTAATTAAGCAATAGTTAATTTTGTTTTTTATTTTAATTTTTAGGAAGCTCTAGATTTGCAAAAGAGAGTAAAAAAAGAAAAAATGAATATCAATACCGATAAAATTCGAGATTGGTTGATTCAAGAAATAGAAGTATTAGTAAGCACTATTGATGCAAAATATTCTCTTGAAAAAATAATGCAAGACAGAGCATCACTAGTGTGCATGTTAGAAGAACTTCAAAATAGTAATGATGTAAATGAGACAAAAATTGCTGAACTTAATGAATTTTTAACTTTACGTAATGCGCAAATTACTGACATACAACAACAGATTGTTGAATCTGATCAAGGTAAATATTTTATAATATATATTAGATGATACATGTTGTTAAGTCATTTTTATAGTCGACTTGAAGCACTGGATATTCTATCGTTGAAAGTTGCACTAGACTGTGGACGGCTCGTCCAACGTAGTTTGAAATGGTAAACGCGAAAAATACTTAGAAAATTAAAATTTAATTTGATTGATATAGGGTGTGATATCGAAACGAACACTGCACAAGGACACATCCAAGTCTTCTGAGAAATTACTGATTGTAACGCGCGATTGTCACCCGCAAGCCTGTTTTTATTAGAATCTGATTGGCTTGAGTAGCCAATCATATTTGAAGGCCTAGCCGTTTTGATCGTTTTCTGTAGGTCATTAGAAAAAAAGGCAATAAATTGTGGCATCGATTAAATTAACCGTTTTCGGTATGACAACAAACAAACAGGCTCGCGAATCGGTGACCGTCGCGCGACGCTTCTGAGTCCTGGTTCCGTAAACATTAGGTAAAAACATCTAAAGAAACGTTTAACAGAAACATAATTAATGTAAACGAAACTAGGACTCATAGGCGTGAGAAGACTTTATTTTCTTGCAATAACACATGTAAATATAGTAAGTTTCATTTTACACTTGTTAATTGTTGTATATCTATTTGCTTATTTAGAAAATAATGCGCATACAAGATGGCAAAGAATACATACAATGGACGAAGCAAAAATTGCTCTTAAACTATTAACAAAACATATTGCAGAAAATAGGAGAAAGCAATGTGTAAAAGAATATGAATATAATGAACTTCAAGTCTGTATATTTTTGTTATATACAAACCTCTTTATATTCGATATCAAGCATTTAATTAAAAATTAATATATTTGCAATAATAAATGCAATTTTAGGCAAAGTATGAACTATTGCAAGCACAATTAAATGAGTACCATATAAGACAAAAAGAAAAACGTATGTCAAAAAAACTTTCATTAAATGGTACACATTCTATTGAAGAATATAAAAATGAAAATGAAAGTAAATTAAGAGAAGAGTTGGAGCTTTACAAACAAAAATGCCGAGAGTTGGAAGAAACAGTTAATATACATATTTTTAATTTTGTTATAGATAAAGTGAATTCTCGATGAAAGTATAAATTGTTTTGTAAATTTTTCAGGTTTCAGGTAAAATTCAAAATGAAAATGTGAAACCAAAAAAAGTTAGAGAATTCAAATCTAAAAATTATGAATTAGAAACAGATGATAGTAGCACTGAAGACGATAATATCGAGAAAGATCCAGATTGGATACAAACACCACTTTATAATCGTATACAAAGTCTTTTGGTAATTGGCAAAACATTCATTTTCGTTGTTTATTCATTCAATCTTAAATGACAAGATAATTTTTACTTTCAGAATACAAAAAAAACTTCATTATTTGATTGCAAATCAGTGAAACGAACATCAAATGGAGATACAAAATGTAATTGCAAAACGAATTGTGTTACACGAATTTGTACTTGTCGTAAAAATAAAATTTTATGTGGTAATAATTGTAAATGCGCCGTAGATAATTGTCAAAACAGAGATCAAAAAAATGTAAGCTTGTTATTCATTCTAATGGTAATCATATTATAAGCTATGTATGATTATCATATAACTGTCTTCTATTTTTAGTTGAATCGTACATTATTTGTGGAACAAACGAAAAGCGAAGAAGAATGTGATGAATCTCTAAAAAAACCGAGGTATATTTAAATTGTTTTTTGAATTTCATCGTACATGGTATGATCATATTTTATTGACTCTTCTATTTCTATTGTTTAAATAGATTGGTGAAATTATAATGTCAGATCATCGACATTGTCGTCATCAATTTTTCTAAAAGTACGGTTTTGTGATATTGGAAGAAAATAATTTTTCTATTACATATATGCAACAAGATTTTATGGAGACAACTAGATTTTACAATTTGTCATATTAATTTTATTTAATGTCAATTAAATAGTTAATATTGTACATTAATTGAATATCCATATTGTAAATTAACTTAATATAACCGTATTGTAAATTATTTTAATATCTGTGTATTGTGAATTAACTTAATATCCATAAGTGTACTGATTAGATATTAAGATAATAAAATAATAAAATTATTTAACTTTGTATATATGTATATGTAATAAAATAAACGTATTTTTACCAAGTTTGCTTTTATATACGTTTATAAAACGATAAAAAAAAATTACGAATCTAATTTGTACTCAAAAGTCTTCATTTTTATATACGTATTGAATTTTAAATTTTATATGGTAACTATAATGTGTCAGATAAAATTGGAGAAAAAGAAAAATTAAGACAAAAATAATTTTGTAATATTTATATTTATTGATTTTTTACTGCCTGCTTTAAAGATGGAAAAATTGAAGCTTATGTAGGTGATTGATAATGATAAAGTCATCGTACTACAAATATAACGAATAACTATATACTTTATTATTTATTTAATAACTATTACTTAACAATAACTTAACATTAACTGAACAATAAAAAATTAACTATTTATACACTTTGATAATAATTTTAGACTTTAGACTTTAGACTTTAGAATGTAGAATGTCGATTAACTCTTTTACAACTATTTATATCCTCGCTAATTTGTTGTATGTATCCTTGATAATTATTTACAGACATCTCCTTAGTAATTTTGTTAAAATATTGGTTTCTTACATGATTTCTTATTTTCAAGTTTCGCAAAGTTGGCGCCGTTAAATTTATCTGGAATGAACTCTTCGACAAGACGGTTGAGAAATAGACGCCGCTATACTTATATACGTTTCCGGTAACAGCAGCTTGATCTTTTCCGATTGTACACTTCAACAAGCAACATGGGTAAGTTTTCGATGTTAACATTAAGTTGACTTTGAAAGTGTAAAATTTAAATTGTTAAATATGTGTTGTTCTCACAGATTGTTCAGTTTGTTTTAATTATAATTTCGTTAAATATTCGTTGAAAAATTCTAAATTAACTAAGTAGAGATATGGTTCATTGAACAAGGACACATAACCTAACTCTTCGATTTGCAGGTAAACCTCGTGGTTTGCGTACGGCACGTAAACATGTAAATCATAGACGCGATCAGCGTTGGAATGACAAGGACTACAAGAAAGCTCATTTGGGAACGAGATGGAAGGCCAATCCATTCGGTGGTGCTTCTCACGCGAAGGGTATTGTACTAGAAAAAGTGTATGTATATTTGTATCATTAATATCCTATAGAAGAAATATGTATCCATACAGATATTTTAATTGAATAATTGTATGTTTATAGTGGCGTAGAAGCTAAACAACCGAACTCTGCTATTCGTAAATGCGTGCGAGTGCAATTGATCAAAAATGGGAAAAAAATTACGGCCTTTGTACCTAGGGATGGCTGTTTGAATAACATCGAGGAAAACGATGAAGTATTGGTTGCAGGATTTGGTCGCAAAGGTCATGCTGTGGGTGACATTCCAGGAGTACGATTCAAAGTAGTGAAAGTTGCTAATGTTTCGTTGCTCGCACTGTATAAAGAAAAGAAAGAGCGACCTAGATCGTAAAATATGTAATAAAATAAAAAAAGTATAAAAAACATTTTTTTTTAAATTACTACTTTGTTGATATCCATGAACATTTTTATTTTTATAAAAGTACTGAGAATTTAACGTTTTTGAAAAATTCCTAGAATAAAATTAACAAGTATCCATGCATATATTCGTAGCTTCTTCAGTATGTGTAACAGTATTTCCAATAATTTCATTTAATGGAGTATTTAATTTTTTTGTCTCTTTTGGTATATTGGTACTCAATATTTCTTCCTTTGCTTGTAGAAACTAAATATTGAATAATTTTAATTTATATAAATTAACGCTGCATCATATCAAATATAAAATAGTATATAAAAGTACAAAACCTGTATTAAAGAAGAAAAATTTGTATATATATTGTTGATATCAGCATCCATGGAGTATGAGTTATTCTTTACACTTTTCATATTAAATTTTAACCATGAATCAACAGATGAATATGCTTCCATAAAATTTTTTTTTTCTTCATTAAATAACAAATCTAGATTATGATCATTAGCTTCCTTTTCATCCTATAATTTATTTAATTTTGTATATTATTTTAAAACAAAAATATAAAATATACAATTATATATAAAATATATATATATAACTGTACATAAAATATATAATGATACAATTAGCAAAGAAATGATTCTGAATACGAAATAAATTTAAAAATTTGCTTTTTCCATCTCTAGCTCAGCTTTGAAAGAATCATTTTCTTCGTAGTTGTAACATCAGTTATAGATCATCTTGTATACATTTTTAATGATATTACTTCTGAAACCTGTTCCATTACATGGTCTTCATTTTCAGATTTACAAATAGGTGATGATTCTTCATGTTTATTTAGATTACTCTGCAAATTTTCAAAATATTGCATAGATTCAGAATAATTTAATTTTGGTTCAATATTACACAAGAATGTATTTGGATCTTCATTGATATAAACCTAATATAAAATATGTACATAAATAAGCAAAGTCATATACATATTTGTACTGTATTTGTTTACATACATTTAATATATCGTCAATGGATTCTTTTTCATTGCATTTAGTATCAGAAGACTGAAGAAATAAACATTTTATAAAATCTAATAATAATCTCAAAGTTGGAAGTTGTTCTTTCCATGGACAATTTCCCTGTAAAAAAACAATTTAAGTTTCTCTCTGTGCAAATAACACAGATAAAACAAACTACAAACCAATAATAATTTCTTATCAGTACAAATCCCGATTTCAGAATAAGATTTTAATAGTTCTTCTGCAAAAAACGAAAATTTCATAATGAATATATTAAATATTACTCATATACTACATTACATTAACACTAATTATGACAAAAATAAACCTTCTAAAGCAGCGCCTTTTAATTTTTGAAATTTGGAAGCTATCAGTGGGGACTTTTCAGCTAAAAGCCAAGATAATAATGAAAGTCGATTTTTTCCACTTAGAATTGTTATTTCTACGTTGTTTGCCATAACTGTTGTAATTTTTGGATATTTTATTTGTAATAAAGTATTATAAATATCAGTCATTAATTCCTCTACATTACACATTGTTGTAAATAATATTCTAACTTTATCATATAAATTATGTTTAATTTTATATTTATTGTGATTTTTAATATAGTTTAATGTTTTAACACTTAGCCAATCGCTGCAACACACCAAACTGTACGCTATCTACCGCGCGATTCTTCGCAAGTAACGCAGACTATTTGAAAGACAAAGAATATTTAAAAATTATTTTTATGGATAATTATATTTAGTGGTAACGATCTTGTATTACTTGTTGTGTATACAAAACATGAAATTAAAAGTATATAACAATTATTTTTTGTAGTTTATGCAAGAAAGATATGTAATAGATATTGAAAATAAATAATATTAAAGATAATTGAAGATAAATAACATAACTTAAACGTGAAATTAAAAATGAATGTATTTTAGTATTTTTATAAAGTATGATATCGTTTGAAACGATGATCAGTTTATGTAGTGGTACATTACACACTGGCAAATATATCGCGTATAATCATCCGTTTTTTTATTAGCGGAGGATATTCTATATTTCCGGTGAGGATATTTTTTTTACCACCCGTTACAATTGGTACAAGTTTATATTTTTTGAAATCTTCCTTGCGGGTCATATCTCGGCGCTGGGAGACTCCAGGTTAAGATTGATTGATAACAACAAAAAAAGTAAACAGAATGAAGACCACACGTTGCTAAAAATGGAAGATCTTCCTGATTGGTCATCCAGCGACTTCCTTTAAAGTGGAGAGATCTGACTTTGGTTGGCTAATGCTTTCGTTTGTTTAGAGATTAGATAATTAATCGATAGAAAAATATAAAAAATTATAAATAAAATAACACTAAATCATTTGTTGAACTGTCCACTTAATCAAATTTATATGTACATACTACATTTCTATATGTATATACTTTCGTACACATTTCAGTTTCAATACTGTTATAAAATGAACAATTTCTATATTTTACTTCGAAACGTCCAAATATAATAAGAACATTTATATAATTTTTATTAATACTTAAAAAATAAAAACTTTTCATTTTAAAAAATTTTCTTTAGATTTTAATTTTTTTAATTTGTTGTACAAGTCTGTCAATGTGAATTGTGTTTTAAATATATTTCAAGTAGCTACATAAATTATTTTTAATTCATTACTAATTTTACGAAAAAAGAATTTATATTTTAATTTATTTGATTGATTGAGAAAGTACAGAAATTATAAAATATTTTTAGAAGATTATTGTGGTCCACTTTTTGCATAATGCACAGTGTAAACCGTTAAAAAGTAAAAAAATAAATGAAATAGCTTTTAATACTTTTCTAAAATTCTTTTCATTTTATTGCCTCTGCCATGGCACGCTTTACACATTCATACTGCAAATTAAATTATGTAACTCTTGTGATTCAAATTTACACACTTTATATGTAAATTATACATATTAATTAATTATATACAGATTAAACTAATAAGGCGGCGGCTGATGTTGATAGTGTTGCGGAGGTTGACTCAAGTGTCGTTGTAAATGCGTCACCAATTGCGGAGTTGGCTGTTGCCCACCAGTATTACCTTGTTGTTGTTGCTGCTGTTGTTGCTGCGCTTGTTGCTGCTGCTGTGCCTGTTGTTGTTGCTGTTGCATTGCCAGCATTTGTTGTCTCATACGTTGTTGGTTTATCGTCTGTTGCTGATGATGCAAATGATTATATACAAATCATATACAGACAATTAAAATGTATCAAAACGTATACAGACATCAAAACGTATACAGACAATTAAAATAATAAACTTACCTGTTGGAATTGTTGATTCTGTTGTAACCCAACGTTAGTGGTGCCTACCCCCGTTACACCAACCGTACCAGGTTTCCCACTAGTTTGCCGATACGGTGGCGCTGGTTGACTTTGAACTCCCCCTCCCATTGGACCCATTGTATTCATTGTGACATTTGGAGCCTGAAGAGTATCAACAACAAGTTTTCAATTTATTATAGTAAATACCTTCTCAATAGATATTTCACAATAATTTTATCTTTTTTGTTAAGTAATACCTGAAGATATGGTGGCCTTGTAGCTCCAGGTTGCATACGTTGTTGTGGTATATACTCTTGCGCCCTTTGAGGTCCCATCATTTGTTGCTGATTAGTAAACATCATGTTTTGTTGTTGATTCATTAAACCTTGTTGCTGCTGTTGCTGCTGTAGCAACTGTTGTTGCTGTTGGGCTTGTTGAGGTGCCTGTTGTTGTTGCTGGGCTTGCTGTTGTTGCTGCGGTATCATTTGTTGGCCTCCATATCCCGCATAATTTTGATTCATTCCTGCCAACAAATATGATCAAACATATTGTTATATATTATGCTTTTTTTACAATATACATAAAATAAGAAATAGTAATATATAACCACCTTGTTGCATTCCAGTGTAAATTCCTTGTTGTTGTGGTTGTTGTTGCTGTTGTTGTGAAGCAAACATTCCTTGCTGTGGATTGATATTTGGAGCTCCATGTTGAGCTCTCAATTGATGTCTAATGAATTGTTGTCTCTGCATTCCTTGGAATGCTCCAGGGCCAGCAACAGGCGCGGCACTTGGTTGCTGCTGGGAACTTATTAATTGATTGGACGGTAGTCGTAAACGTAACATATGAGAAAGAGCCTGTTTTGACTGGTTGTTCATGCCTGGTCTGTCGTATCTTGGCCCAACTGGAGTTGGTGGTAATTGCTGTCCATATGCATACTGTTGAGCTGGTGCGTGAGTTTGCTGATTAGTGTACCAAGGTTGTTGATGCTGCGGTGGTTGATTAGTAAACATTCCAGGTTGTTGACTGACGGGTACTTGCTGATTTCCAAATGGCATTTGTTGCAGTTGACTTGGTGGTTGCTATTTAATATATCAAAGATATCAAAAACTGATGAACAAATACTTCCAAAATCTAAAAAAAAAGAGACCTGAATTTGTTGTGAAACAGGTGTAGTAGGTGTAGTAGCTCCCTTGTTCCTTCTATGTCTTCGAGTTTTCATAGCTTTCCCTTTGCCATTAGTAATAGTATTACTGATTCCACTACTACCGACACTACCTGTTACTCTTCCAGGAGAATCGATACTCATTGGTGTATCAGCTTTGCCAGGTTCTGATTCTTTTTTGTCTGGTTCTAAATCTTCTGGAGGTAACGGTGGTGGATCCAAATAATGGCTAGGAGGTCTAATTTGACTATGTGTATGGTATCGTAAAAGCTTATGAGCATTTTGATATGTCAGAGGTTTACGTTCCAATTTAACTGCTCTGAACCAAGCCCAGGAAATTGGTGCCGGATTTTTATGACCTTCTAATACTTCCCACGCAGATACCCTTTGAGAATCACATACTTGCAAACCCTAATTTAATATACATATTTATTAGTTATTAGATTGTAATATACAATATGAGTATAAAATATTTCAATTTACCTGTTTTTTATCAATACTATCAAAACCAGCTATTTTATTTCCTTTTGTATCCGTCAAACATCCAACTGGCTCACATGTAATTACTTCCATCGTCAATTTTGGTAGTGGTAACAATTGTCTGACATATCGAATACTAGGAGAATTTCTATCACCAAGTTCTTTTTTCAATTTTTTCATTAAATTTTGATAATGTTTCTTATTCTCATCTTTTTCAGATTGCGAATCAGAAACTAAAGTAGAATGTATTAGGGTTGCTAACATATCTATGACAGTTGTAAACAATCCAGAATTATTATTTAAATCTATAACACCATAGCTAACCAGCTGAACTAACAAGATAGCCCAGTCTGTGGTAGCAGTCGTATTTCTTTGTATAGTATCAAAGACACCACCTACGAGACTAAATCTCAATTGCAATGCATCTTGCAACACTTCTCTCGTCTTAGGGTCTTCGGTAACAAAATTTTTCTCCTCTTTGCTAATGTTCAAGAACTGTGATAGTTGTGAATGTAGAGACATCAGAAGGCCTTCTCTTTGATCATCTTGACCTTTGAGGCAAGTTAGTACTAACGATAGGAACGGCTGATGATTAAACAGAGATGGTGATTTCGATCTACTTCTCTCGCGACCTGTTGCTGTTTTTGACCAATTACCGGATTCTAATACCTGGCCCGCTACTTTTAAAACTCGACCTTGCACTGCGCTTGGTAATTTTGAGACGAGTGGTGCAACTAACCATATCGATCCAGACCGTTTATCTGGTTTACTAGACATAGTATTCAACTGAAACACATCGATTGCAGCTTTGGCAACGGTGTCCAACCATTGTGAAAGATCGCTCGATCCCGGAGGAAATTGCTTATACATTAGTTGCAGATCAAGCCACGACATTCTTAAACTCCATTGCTCCAGATTTTCCAAAATGTTTGTTATATGAGTCTTCTGGTCAATGAATGCATCTGTAGAAATCTCCGGATAGCAGATCATGTGAAGTAATCGTTGAGCTTGACGTGGTGTCAGCATATTATCGAGTAACATATCAGGATGACAAAGTTCCTCAGGGTTTTGTAAGCATCTTTCTAAAACCCATTCTTGGCTACAAATTTGTCTTAAAACGTGTTGCGCGAAGTCTGATAATCCTTTAACATTTTCAGTAGTCATTCCAGCACTGCTGCTAGATGAGGATATCGCTAAATCGAGTCCCAAGTCGTCACCACCTCCTAGAATATCACTGGTACCTAAGATATGGCTGATAGACAATTCGCTTGGGCCGCCTGCAGTTACACCGACACCGACACCAACACTAGCTGGTCCTCCTACTTTATTCGAATGATTGATTGGCACATCTGGTTTCTTTGGCGGTTGTTTACCAGCAGTTGCATCAGCGACGACTAGGATAGCTTTCAATACAGCTAAAACCGGACCGACTCTGATGTTATTATGAGCAGCTGCCAGCAAATGTCTATCACAACTTAACTTTATACTGTAACCTCTGGAATTTCCATTTGGTAAAGGATGAGGACTTGTGCTCACGGAGTAAAGCGCTGGTTGAGGACATTCGACCGTTTTAAAAAGTCGTAGAAGCAAATGACAAGTTAAACGTGCTCCAGCTTCTGCTTCCATATCTGCGTCTCCGCGACCCTCATTACAAGCTTTAACTAAAGATGGTAATGCTATATGCACAACAAAATCCTCCAATGAGAAGCAGTGTCTTGCTATAAATAGAAAATATTATTTTAGCACTTTTATTATACATTTGAAAAGAAAATAATATATGAGAATCACTTAGAAAATTTACCAATTAAAATTGACGTGAATACAGCCAGAGAATTATGTATACTTAAGTCTTGTACATCAACTTGATTTAGCACATCAATGTAAAACGCAGAGCTATTAGAAGAACAGCAAAGTGCCATAAGAACTCCGAGCCATTCGGCGTTAAGTGCATTACAACAAGCTGTTAATTCCGCGCATGTTATCGCAATATCATTTAATTTATCGTTATCCGTTTCGCTACAAACTGCAACTATTGCGTTGCAAACAAAACTGTAACGATTCGCTGGTGTCTCGTTTAACTGTCTGGCCCACTGCGGTTCGATTTTCCCACCGCGTCTTGGACTAGTAAAAACGTCCACCATAAATTGTGAATTGTACACATGGCTCGATGTTGTTGGTTGCAACGTACTATAAAGAGCCGTTCGAATTTTAGGATAAGCATTGCTAAATGCTTCCACTCCATGTGGTTTTGTTTTCAACAACGAACAAGACGAATATAAATCATAAAGATGCGCCAATACGCATCGTTCGGCGGAACTACAGTCGCTAGGATTGGATACATGCTTTACAACTTTACAAAGTAAATCGAATACCGCCGTTGTTTGTTCCGGAGACACTAAGATAACCAAGTTAGATATATAATAATCATTCGTATCACTTGTATATTTTATAAAATAAATTTTGTTTACAATAATAATACTTACACAACAAACAACAATGATATCTTCTTAACACTCCTACAACGTATAGACTTAAACTCGTAGTGTAGCTTCTAACGAGTTGACTATTTCTAAGTCCCAATTGTGTTTCAACTTCTGATAACTCTTTTAATATTTGGATACAAACATCTATCAAACCGTATATGTTTAGCGCTAATTCCATTAAATCAAACAGAAATGCTACATGTTCTTGGACGGGCAAATAAGACGAACCGGCCAATGCAAATGTATTTAACATTTCTATAACTTGTGTCGCACATTGCCACGTTACTACATGTTGATCAAAATAACTGAGATTCTGAAACTTCAACGTTATCGCCTCAAAGTTAAATTCGTTTCGTGAATGTTTCTTCACTTTGCCACCTTCTGCAACGTCAATGCTAAATTTCTTTCCAAATAATTTACATACTTCTTTCGTCATTTTTTTAACAATATGTCTAGCATCGTCTCTAACGCGACCTACTCCATAAAGTAATACATGTCGTTGATTACAATCATGTTGACTGCATGTTTCGTCCTAAAAATGTAATATCAAATTAACTTTTTAATAATTATACCGAATATGTAATTTGTAAATTTTGTATAAAATTGTATATGGAATATTAATTTACTTGTGGTAATGGGAAATGTCTTGTATATAATAAATGTCTACTATGACTTGATGGCATTTTGGAATCTAATCCTTCTTGAGTCCCATGGCCAGCTAGTGCATCTTCTTTAGGACTGTCAGGTGCATCCATGCTATTTTGCTGATCCTCTTTGATATGTTGTAATAACTTGTCCAAATCATCATCAATTTTACTGTCATCGTAATCCATTGTTCTTCCGTGATCTGATACTTCTAATTTTGTTGGTTTTAAATCTATTCCAGTAAACAGACTGTCTTCGTCAATCGGTTCTCGATTGCTCGGAGTTCCAGGCTTGCTAGCTGCAGGACCTAAGTAAAATAATAAAATTTACATTTTTGATAATGAAAGATGTTTGATAATAAAAATTTATATTTTTGATAATGAAAAGTTTATTCTACCTTGTATGAGATCTCCTCTTGAGATGAGTGTACACATGTATGCATCGTGTGAAAATACATCATGTCTAATTAATTCTGAAAATAAGTGAACCAAATTCGTAAACTGAACTTTTGACTGAGTTGTTGTATTATCTAGTACCGGGGCGTCCATGTCCAAAAATTTCATAAGTAATGATTGAAAAATTGGAAGCACGGGTGGATTTCCATTACTACAAATACTATCTTTATCATCATTCTCATTTGTTTCTCCAGTAACTTCACTCTGGCGTTTCTCCAGCAATTTTGCAACTGCCATTGCTCTATGTTCTCCCCATCTTTCAGCGCTTACTGCCCATTCGCATAAAATTTCAACCACAGCAGAATCTTGTTGCGGATTGTACTCCGTTTTCGTATCTCGTTCGTTAGTATTATCTTTTGGAGGTGATGTAAATATTTTAGCATACAAAGTATCTAACGAATTGGTAGAATCCATTCTATCAAAACTGTGCCGATCTAGAGCATCTAAAGCAGCCAATACTTTAGTAGTTGTTATTCCAGCACTGCTTTGCTGCCACTTGTCGCATGACCATTTTCCTTCAGCAGCTTGAGACCTTGCTCGAATATTTTTTTGAGCGATTTTCAGTTGTTTTATTGTAGGATTAGTTGTGCTCACAGGTGGACAAGGTAAAGCTGTAGGAGGACATGGCAAATAATCTAAAGGAGAACCATTTAACACAGACGGAGCTTTTCCTTCACCAACGCTATTCCACACTAATGCAGTTGGACATTCTAAGGTAATAACCTAACAAAAAATTACATAAAAACAATTATATCACAAAATTACAACAAAAAGTTTACACTGATTTAACAAAATTGTATTTTTAAATCAGCATGTCCTATGTCTAATTTGGTAGAACAAAAATACATTTTATGTTATTTAAAAAAGGATCAAAGTATTTTTTTCTAAAATCTAATATTGACCATGAAATATAAGAGTTTCTTACCTGTATTATTGTTGATAAACTATAAATCACATCTCTGTGATGTGGACAAGATAAGTAATCATTAAAAGCAGCAGTTAACGGATTTTGAATTTGGTTAGCGTTGACAGTGTCTTTTCCACCATTAACATCACTTTTATTTATGGACGGACTTTGTGGATTGCCATTGGTTTCTATATTACTACACATATGTGCCAATTTGCGACAACACAAATATGCCAAACGTCTGGCTAATAATTCAGATTGCACAAATTCCTCTAAATATTGTAATGCTAATGGCAACAGAAGCTTCAGAATACCATTTTCTGAAGGGGAAGATTTAATTTTGTCTAATAATTCTAAAATCCATTGTAATAACTCTTGTCTATCTAATAATCCTTCTTCGAACATATATTTCGCCAATTGTATACAATAATGCCATTGTCTTAATGCTAATTTATGCTCCTCATTCATGTTTCCAGTTGTTACTTGACTACTTGAATTCGGTGTAACTGGCTGATTATTAGCAACTCCATTATTATTATTATTATTATTGTTATTGTTGCTGCTATTGTTGTTAGCATTATTAACATTATTGCTACTATTGTTGTTATTACTATTATTCCCAGCATTGTTCCCATTGCAAGAATTGTTTGAAATACTATTACTACTAGTATTATTTATAGTATGATTATTTATATAATAATATTCCTGCAGTTTGGTAAGTTGATCCTTCAAAAATTTTATAAGCGTTCCCGTCCATTCTAAACCAAGAAACAAAGAATAACCATTTCATTCAATATTAACATAAATATAAAATATTTCAATTTCATCAATATCAAAGAAATGCTTTGTTTACCCGTAGTCGGATCAGGTAACTGCCTTTTTTTTATCTTAGCTTCAGAAACAGCCACCGTGTAAGCAGAGCTAAGCTTAATGAACCAAGCTGCTCTGAGCATCGGTACTTGATACTCGCAAAGCATCATGAATATCTCCTCTTTCTTATTAAAGTTCGGTGCCTTCTTAGCTAGAGCTATCAGTGGTTTACACCCGGACAAGTCTTTAAACCATGCTTCGATGCCATTTTTTGTTCTGGCAGTCACTGGCCAGAAATTATCTTTTGGATTAATCTGTTGCCGTTTCCTTGCTGTGTCTGGCATTGTAGACAGTTCTTCCTTTTTAGCTAGAATTGCGTTAAAATATGCCCCCACTTTGGCAGCGGTGACATTACAATGTCTGGCGGTCCCGAATTCCTCCGACATCTGTGGCATTGTCGCAAAGCCGAGTTTAACATTCGTCGAAGTAAGTTCATCTTCCTTTTGTTTAGGTTCCTGCGGATACACGTCAGGCGGCCCTAATTTAGGCCGTTTCAGTGGCCTCTTCTCGTACAATATTCCCATCATGGTACAAGGAAGTAATCAAAATCGGCAAGCGGCCAACGACATTGTTCAACTACGAAATGAGATGAAATCGGTTTCAAAGTCAGATTTTCATATTTAAGGCTACGTACGACATATAACCTTCATTAATGACATATTTACAATTGTTCAACGCTGTAAACGTAACGACAGAATCACCACTTAGACTTCTAGATGGCGCGTCATTATTGAAATCACGAAACATGCGAATGTGTAGTTACACTCTACTGTACTTGAATATTTTTTTTACGTTGATATATATATATGAGATATTTTGATATCCGTGAAATGTAACGCATAAAATATAACAACATTGTGTTTAAAGAATTGAATAAGAGTATAGCGGTATCTCGATATTTATTCGAAAATAATTAAAATAGCTCGTAAATCAAATACTATTTTAGTTATTATTTCAAACTCTCTAATCGTGCCAATTTGTTAGTATCATGAAAAAATTACTAGGCATAAGTCTAAAATTAACGTTAGATGAATCTTAGATGGTAGTAAGATATTAATGTTAAACATTGTATCGTTATATGGAATCATTGGGAATCTTTCTAATTGTTTAACGTCAATAAAAATTCTAACATGCTGTTTCATTTTTTCTAAGATCTTGTGCAGCCGTTCTCTCAGTCGAAATTCTTTTAAAATAGGTATTATCTTTTTTCACTTCACCTATTATCTTTTTCTCATCAATTGTTTTGATACATTTTTTTGGAATATAACAAAGTTGCGTAATTAAGGTGCGTGATGTAAAAAAAAAGCGAAGCCCCGAAAAGTGAAAAACTTCTTGTAAATATATAACGTTTAAGATTTACTTGTTTCTATAAATATTTGGAATTTCTTTGTGCCGCGTTGACTTTTTGAAAACAGAAATTTTCATGAAAACATACTGTTTGGAAATGATATATTTGTATATTTGCAGTTCCTTTCTATTGAATTTGCAGTTCCTTTCTATCAAATTAGCTTATACCGCTAAGTCGGAATGAAAATAAAGTGATACAGTGAACTGAATAGAAACGTGTTCTTTATACAAACGCTAGTAACAATGAGAAGCTTCCGACGCAATTGTAATACAATTAGTCATTAGTTTATCATTTTCTAATAGCTGGATGGAGTAAGTGATGGATAGTATACATTGGAATATTACAATTTAACTTTCTCACAGAGCAACAAATATGGACAGTAATAACGATGAAATCATTTGTATTTCATCAGACGATGATGAAGATACAAGACAGGTTCGTGCATCTTGCTACACTGAAATTGTTAATTATAAATATTAATATAAATTCTGAATAGCTAATAGATATGATTTTCTTGTGGTTAACAGGTATTATTTAAAAACAATATCATTACCAAGAAAGAGTCAGTTATTAACCTATTGAAGAATAATTGCAATTCCCCGTCTAATTCTGTATCAAGTAGCACAAAAATTTCTTTGAATGACAATAAAAAAGTAAAAGAATGTGTACTTAAAAGAAAAGTGTCTGAAATAATTGATGACAACGATGAAGGTTCTTCTATTGAGAGAAGCTCTAAACTTGCGCGTAAACAAGGAGATAGTGTTAAAGCACATAATTTGGAGGAAGAAACAGAAGTAGAAATAAAAGAGGAAGGAATGGAAGATAAAACATTGTTGAGACCAAAGTTGATTATAAAAGAGAAGAGGACTATTTGTTCTGTGGAGCAGGATATATTCCCTATGTTTATCAGTTTATGTTTGCAGAAAGATCGTTCCGACGACATGAAAAAGATTGTTAATAAATTAAAGAGACGTTATGAACAGTTGGACCCTTCGTATGCTAATTCTGAAGTTTTCACTGATTTTTTAAATGAAAAAAGAAATGAAATAATGGAGAGTAACTGTAAACTTTACACGTATATAAATGAAGTAATGAATGAAATGAAAAATAGCTGTAAAGGAAAATGGATTTTATCATCAATCAGCAAAAGTTATTTTTCTGGTGGAAACAAATTAAATAGAGATAATAATTCAAATATATCTACTGCAATGTGTTCAAATATGTCACACACAAGTAATAGCATAATTAATGATAATGATAATGATAATGAAATAACGTTAACTAATATAAATGATGAAGAAGAACAAGAAAAGGAATTTGCTGTACAAAAGAAAATTGGTAAAATACTAAAAGCAATGAAAAAATGTGAGAAAATTATAAAAAAACTGGAAGAGTTGGAAATAGATTTTGATGATGAAAATAATAGTAGTTATATCAAACTAGAAAGATATAAATATCGAATGGTGGAATTGTATAATAAATATTGTGAATACACTGGTGAAAATACTGATGCAGGACGGCAATATCTACGGCCAAAACATTTTAGCACAACTGGAATTGTTTCTGTGGATCATGCTATTTCAAGTTTTATTAATTCTAAAATATTGAAAAGGAACAAATTGAAAAAAATTGGTGATTTTACAAAAGCATTAATCTTTCCAGATTACAATGACATTTTAAAATGTGTTACAAAATGTAATGAATTACATAGTTTAGGTTTGAATGACAGAAAAAGGCAAGATATTGGTAAGTTACCATAATGTTGCTAATAAACTGTTATGATTTAATGTTGAAATTTTATAATGTGTTAATTGTTACAGCAAAAAAAGCATTCAGCGATTTAGGAGACTATCTGCAAAAGTGTCGACGCGATGATTATTGGGACACATTTTCCTTATTTCTTGAAGGTAAAGAAGATGATCCTGCATTGAAGAATGCAGAATTAACTGAAAAATTGATACAAAACAAGAAGATGGGTGAGACTAAATTATTAAGTATATTTGAAGAATATACAAAGAAACAAGAACAAACGAAAGACATTAAAAGATCATTCATAGAGAATGAAGATGATGATGAGGATAGTGTAGAGAATAATGATGATGATGATGAAGATGATAATGATAATGGAGAAGTTGATAATGATGTTAGTGACATTGATATAAATTTGGATACAGATAATAATAAAAGTTCATCTGAAAATGATAGTACAGATGAGACTGAAATAGTTAAAAATAAAACAAATATAAGAACCAAGTCTGATACAAGAAAAACTAATTCTGGTCTAGAAATGGGAGAAATTTGTCAACAGAATATTAATGATAGATTAAGAGGTTATGAATATGATAACTTTAAATCAGAAAAAGTTAGCAATGTGAATACATCTAATTGTACAAATAATTTTAAATCAGAGCCAATGATGGAAAGTGACAGAATATCAACGTCAGATCTAGTGAAAAATTTAAATACTACGTCTAATATATCACTATCAATCACAGCAAATAATAAAATTATTATAGATAAAACAAAAGGTCAGTTTATAAACGTGAATTACTTATTAAAGAATAAATAAAAATATCTAAATTTTATTATGTATATGTGTTGCAGAAGATGATCCTAATACAGTAGTAAATGAAGGTCTAATGGATGAAAAGTCATTAGAAGATAAGGAAGAAGATGCAGAAGAAAAGCCACTGTTACGAGTACGCTCTTTTGCCAAACCTCCAATCACATGGAAAGATGGGCAAGAAAAGATAGACGAATGTAATAAAAATGAAAATACAGTAAAGACACCAACCACTAAAGATACCGTAGACCTTACACAAAATATTGCACAAGAAAATTCGGTTCATCAGCGTGCAACTATTCAGGTAATTCCTATTGTAAAAGGTAACTGTAAAACATTTGTAATACCAACAGGTAAAAGTATAATTAATGTAAAAAATATTACAAATACTTATGTGAATTTTAATCCTAAGAATTCAGAGTCGAACAATGCAACTAAATTAGGAAGCAGTCAGATCATTTCTCCGTTACGAGTAATAGATAAAAATACAAAATTTATCGCTATAAATAATATATCATCGAATTTACCCGCTAATCAGGGAACAAATACTAATAATCAAATACAAAATTCAGAAATGAAACAAAAAAGCACAAATTCTGTGCTTCAATCTAATCAAATAGTAGTATTACCCATGAAACAAAAGGAAAATACTTCGCAATCTCCAAAGACAAATTCATCGTCGGAATCTAAATGACTAGTTAAAGCAATTCGTCGTGATCACTGTTATGCAAAATTGACAAATGACAGATGACAAATAGATTACATTAAATAAACGTCATAATTTTTTTATAAACGATTTGTAATTAGCAACATTGTATTAGTATATTGATATATGATATTAAATAAATTTTTTACGAATATTAAGATATGTACAATTTTTATATGTTAAATGTTATAAATTTATTTCATTACATTAAAATTGTATGTTTTGATATTATTTATCTTTTGCAAATTATTCGTTTTTATTTGCAGAAGATATTATTTAGTATTATCTTCGTTAAAATAAATTCTTCATTTGTAAGTTTTTCCATGATATCGAAATGGTCAATATTTTCTCGTAGAAATACATAATGAACATCATCTACCATTGTAATAAGTTGCTAGAATGAAAATTATAATTGATTATTTATAAGAGAAAGAATGTAAAATATTTAGAATTGGTGAAAATTGCTTAACTTAGTTATTTAAAATAATACGAGTACCTGAGCACACTCGCGTGATTCAGTGATGAGTCCTGGCGAATCACATTCTCCAACAGTTACAATAACTCTTAATCCTTGGATAGGTATGTTATTTTTGGTATCAAGAGTAGTAAAGTTATATGCTTTGATTTCATCTCTAAAATATGCATATTACATATTACATATTATGAACTTAAGTAAATAATTTACAGAAGTACTCAGATATTTACTTTGAAAGTTTCAAAGGTGTAATAATATTTGTATCAAGTAAAGGATTCAAATTATAAATGCCTCCTATTAACACAATTCCTTTTAATAGATTTAAGTATTCGTTTTTCATCATTTTATCTAGCCATGATGTATCGTACAAAATGCTTGAAACTAAATATGCACCAGCGCTATGACCAGAGATCCAAACATTCCTATAAGAATCAATTCAATTTTATTGTTATGTTATAAATTAACAAATTTGTCATATAAATATTAATTATGTTCGTCATACCGACATTCGAGCCCCGAAGCATACTTTAATATATGTTCAATTGCTATTTTTATTTGTGATATTATATCCCCAAATTTGACTAAAATATAATGTTAATATTAATTAAAATATCTTTAGAATATTCTTTTTTTTTTGTGTTTAAAAATATAACACTATAAAAGAAATATAACGTACCATTAGGACATAAATCGTAGCCAATAGTTATAACTTTAATTCCTTTATTAACAAAAACAGGAGCTGGAAATGCAGCCAAGTCCTTGCTACCTTCTTGCCAATAACCACCGTGAATGAATATAAATATGGGGGAATCTAAAAAAAAACATACTTATATTATTTAAAATGTAAATTTTAATCGTAAATGAAATATTTAAAAAAATTAATTATTTATATTGCAATAAATTGAAATAGTACGAAAATTCAAAATATACCAAAATTTAACACATTTAAAATTTATTAGATTTTTGTATACCTTTAGGTAAATTAGTTCCATATATATCATATTTCGTTCGTTCAGTTGTTCCGTATGGAATATTTAATTCGCATTTCAAATTTTTACGAGCATCATCGGTAACTGTAATGATAAATTATTATTTATAAAGAAAGATATCTATCCGTTTCTCATTGTGAAATAATTCAATTCAATTTCAACTTACTATTTCTAGCGAATTTATAGTAGTGTGATAATAATTGCATATTGTCGCGATCAAATCGCTTGCTCCATTTACTGGGAGTGTACAATATTTCTTGTTCCTGAAGTCAAAGAAGTGCAATTCCGAAGAAATAAATAAATAAATAACAATGAGAATTCAAGGAAAATTCATTAATTACCGAAATAGACATTTTCGATCTTCACTCACACACCCACACACTAACTTCAAACAGGAAAAATTCAGCTTAATAATAACTATGTTTTTTATTAACTATCACGTTTTTAAATCTTTGATAAAATTCACGATATTGGTAAACTGATAATGAGTTTCAATTAAAAAGTATACGATTTATCAGTTTATAATCGATTGTTGTGATGTAAATGATAAAACGTTCTCTCGTTTGATGAAAGTCATTGGTTCCTTCATTGAAACTATGACATTAAATATCGTGCTGTTTCTTGTAGATTGCGCCACTGCTTACACGTGCATGATTGCAACAGATCAGAATATGTACTTTTATTTCTTAGGAATGAATGATACGATAAATTTAAGTTGATGAGTTTTTAATATTATTTATAGAACTTTAGATGACTCAAATAACTTAAAAATAATTGAACCTTCTGTCAATATATAAATTCTTTGGCATTTATGTAATTTTATTTATGATAATTATGATAGACACAATAAATTACTAATTTCTCCATTTACGTTTCACGTGAACACATTTTAATTTTGTACATAAGTTCACATCATAATCATTAAAGAATATTAAGAATATTTATTAAATATACTGGAAAAGTTTGTTTTTTCTTTCATATAAAATTTCCAGATATGAGTATTTCCAAAAGAAATTTTACTAATTGTATTTTAAATTATATAGTATTTATCTTATTAATTATATTTTTAAAAACTTAATAATATAATTAAATATATGTATATATATATATGTGTGTGTGTGTGTGTGTGTATATATATATATATA